ACTGGCAGGTTGCCATGCAAGCCACTGTTGTAGAGATTACGTAATTTGCCATATCTCCATGCCTTGTCATATGCTTTTTGAACATAAATAAATACTGACACTAAATGGTTTCTTTTGACAAAGGCTTTATGGATTGAAGTTTCCAAAAGGATCATATTATCCATAGTTGTTTTACCTTTACAAAAACCACTACGATATGGTGAGATTACTCTGTATTTTTCTAAATAATGGCCTAAGCGGCGGTTTACCATTCTTTGAAATAATTTGCAAACGCAACTAGTAAGAGTGATTGGTCGGTAGTTGGAGGGATTTTTCGAGTTATTCCCTGGTTTAGCTATGGGGATGAGAACAGCTCTCTGCTCTGCACTGGGAAAGGCAGAGTCCACACTTGATTGGAAAGGGTGAGAAGGGCAACCAATGACTTATAGGATAGATGCTTCAGCATATAACTGTATCATACTATCTGGACCCGGCCTTGATCTGTGTGTCTGCATCAGTTCCCTACTTAACTCAAACATGGAAACATAGGTTTCAAGAAATTCCTTATAAAAATCGGCAGGTTGCCATGCAAGCCACTGTTGTAGAGATCACGTAATTTGCCTTGTCATAAGCTTTTTGAATATAAATAAATACTGACACTAAATGGTTTCTTTTGACAAAGGCTTTATGGATTGAAGTTTTCAAAAGGATCATATTATCCATAGTTGTTTTACCTTCACGGAAACCACTATGATACGGTGAGATTACTCTGTATTTTTCTAAATAATGGCCTAAGCGGCGGTTTACCATTCTTTGAAATAATTTGCAAATGCAACTAGTTAAGAGTGATTGGTCGGTAGTTGGAAGGATTTTTCCGAGTTATTCCCTGGTTTAGCTATGGGGATGAGAACAGCTCTCTGTCCTGCACTGGGAAAGGCAGAGTCCACACTCGATTGGAAAGGGTGAGTAGGGCAACCAATGACTTATAGGATAGATGATTCAGCATATAACTGTATCATACTATCTGGACCCGGCCTTGATCTGTGTGTCTGCATCAGTTCCCTACTTAACTCAAACACGGAAAATTCCCTATTGTACAGCTCACAGATCGGAGAGTTGAATTGAATGAGAGCATTTCACAGCATCGCTTAACAGAAAGAAATGTAGGCGGCTAGTTGCTGCCACTAGAAATGGCAGCAAAATTCTCACCAATTGCATTTGCAATTTCTTCCATTGTGCTGATCACTCGGCCATCTTTCTTCCAGAAAGGAAAGTGAGTGGTCTTTGTTCAGTCCGCATAATTTTCTAACTCTTTCCCATACTCGTTTACTAGCTGTAGAAGATGTTATTCCAGGCACATAGGACACCCACGAATCCCTCTGGCTTGCCTCACTCTTAATTGCTCTGGGTGACTTTTGCTCAAGCTTTTTGAAGGTAATAAGGATTGGCAAAGTGGGGTGTTTATGAAAAACTCGCCAAGCTTTTCTCTGTTGTTTCAGTGTAGGACATTCCCGGTTCCAGTATGGTTTAGTGTACTTAGGAAGTTTTGTTGATGATTTTGGAACAGAGCCCATAGCTTGAATAATGACTCGTGACCGTTTTCACAGCTTCAGTATATTCACATGCTGAATATCAATACTGAACTTCGTCAGTTCACTACTGATATTCAGCATGTGGATGGTGAAGAAAATTGACCAGTTGATCCTCTTTCTCACATTGAAATGGTTACTGATGTCAATTCCTGTTATCCTCTCTCCCAGTTACGTGTTACTTCCTCCAAGTTTTTTCGCTGCCTCCTAATCCTCAGCGACCCAGCCTTCACCATCCAGCTTCTCTGAGATCTTCTCACCATTTTCACCACACCTATGCGACACCTATGCTGACATCTCTATGCTTTTTCCCAAAGCTTCTCAGGGATTAAAGCTATTTCTTTCTGCTCTTCTACTGATATTCTGCTGTTCTATGATTCACTTGCTATATTTTCATTTCAAGTCATGCCCCTCGCAGTCTTGCTCAGGTTACTGGGAAGTACCGCTTTAATATGGCAGAACTCCAGTATAGCCACAGTATCTAAGTATCCTGTTAACTATTAGTCTATTTTGCTAGCATTGGTATGTTCCAGCATTGATTTAATTTTCATTCAAAGCTAAACTTCCTGCTATGATTGCCAGGAAGCCATAGAGTTTTAAATTATGTCATGCTTTTTGGTCAAAGCTTTTTCAATCAAAAAGTTTGCTTAAATCTTCTTCACACTCAGTTTTTATTCTATAAATGATACATTAACTTGCTTGTCTCTAGCACAAATAATTCCTCAGATGAAGAATATAATGCAAAATTCTAAAGAATTCATAGCTGACAGGGTTCAATGCATCTAAAGCAGCATGATTTTACTAAAGCTTTTACTACCATTACAAGATTAACAAAAGCCAATCAGATAATAATACACTAACCAGAGTTAAAAAAGAAGAAAATAACAATAAATATATATAAAAGATTCAATTCCAGCATAAGCTGAAAAAAAAATCTCTTAATTACCTTCTCTTAATACTCTTCCGAGAAGTGACTGGCACGTGTTGCAGAGTTTGAGTATCTGAAAAGGAGAAAATCAGAATTAAACTGCTGCATAGTTTTTTTTCATTTAAATAAAAACTTCAGTAAATTTGGAAGCATTGCATATATTTCATACACATTATTATACTATATATAAGCAATATATTGCATATATTGCACTTCATATAATCTCTTATACACATATTCTTTACTTTAAAATAGTTTACACCAGTTTGCTTTTAAAAAAAACTTCACTTGTCTTTGTGTTTGCTTACTAGAAGAAATCCAAAAACAAGTTTTGCTTACAACTGGGCTTCTTCTGCACAGCATCACACAATGCAAGTAGAACCTACTGGCCAAAAAAGTGGAAAATTATATACTGGAGATGCTGGTCAACAGAAGAGAAGTTTTCAAAACATATTTTATTTCAAACCAGTTTACTAAAGCATTGTTTACTAAACTGCCTTGAAACAAAATTCATTGCTCTGGGTAATGAAAAGGCAGACATAGAAAGCTGTTTCAAATGCAAATTAACAATGAAGACACTTTTTTAATGTGATTTGAAAGTCTCCTAAAATGAGTATTTCTTTTAAACCTGTATACATGTACCATTTATTGTAGTGACAGCAGATTTTTCCATCGACTTCAGATCAGAGCCCCAGGTCAAGAGGATTTTGCATTAAAGCATCGTATGATGAGCCACAGCAAGATCGAAAGCCAGACATTAATAGATATTAGCATCCAACATTCGAGTGAGCTAAGAAGCAACCACCTAATTTGGTACCAAGAGATTTTGGTGAATATTTTTTACTGCAAGTTAACACTTCAAAGAATGATCTCATTTGCTAATAATGGTCCCACTGAAGAGTTGACAAAATGTCATGCAACTGCAAAAAAAGGCTTCCAATGGCTATTACAAGAAACTTACACAAAGAATATACAAAGGTGTGGGCTAGTCCTATGCATTTCTATCTTCAGAGCAGTTTAAAGCTTGAAGAAACTGCACTTAACTTTGATCGGACAAATGCACATCCAAGTTTTCATCCCCAACGAATCCAAATCTGGCTCAGAGACGTCTAATTGATGACTTCTGATCTGGAGAGAATGTGACACTCAATAAAATACAGTGTAATACAATCCAATAAGGACCTCCTTTTGCTGAAAACAGCCTGCCTGTTTCAGTGCATATGGATGTACTGACCTGTGCATCATTCAGAATGGATCCACTGATGGTTAAAATTCACAGAGACTAAATTCTTAAAATCTTAGTAATGGCATGTTACAACTGACACTGGTGAATTCCCTCTTTTCATGCATCAAAATGATCAGGTTCATGAATGTGATATATGAGGAGGAAATAACAGAGGATATGGAATTGTGCTCAGATTTGAATCCAATTGAGCATGATCGGGAATACATTGTTGTCTTCAACTTCCAGTCAGGAAACCTGGTAAGAATCCCCCAAAAACTTCATCCATCATGTAATCAATCAGTTTTTCACAGATGGGAAGCCTAGTATCTCACAGATTCAAGATGGCTACACTCTGAAGTCTGATAATATTCATTAATGCATATTTTTTTTTCTCAAAGATCTTTTTGCTACAGCAGTTTCCTAAATATTACTGTGGCATATGTCATAAAGGTGCAGACAATCGATCACTGTACTCTTATATGGGTAAAAAGTGAATTTTTACCCATATAAGAGGCAATGAGGCAAAACGGCAAATGAGTTATTACGAGTTCAAGAAATGTAATGCAGGACTGTGTGTAGATCCCTGTTTTAAAATTTTTCATAAGAAAAGAGAATTTTAAGTAATATATTTAGTTTTCAGATGTATAATGTTAAAAGTCATAAAATGGTGAGTAATTAAAATAAAATGTGTAAAATATGGATTTAAACAAGAAATAAGGTAATTAAAGTATATATATAAAAATATCTATAAAGCATAAGCCGTTTAAATACTCTATAGAGCATTATTAAACAATGTGTTGATACTTCGGAAATTTCATGGATTTAGGCTTAGTAGCAAAAAAGCCCCCGGCCCTGGTGAGACGCTCGCGGAAGACACTGCCGGCCTCCGCGATAAGCGTGCGTTTTCGCTACCAGGCTCGAAGGGGTTAAATACAATAAAACGTTTCATTTTGATAATCTTTTAAAAGGAAGTATATTAACAAACAAAAAAGTTTTTTCCAAGGCAATTGTTACAAACTGGCGGCCTGCCGGCTGCACATGTTCCCTTGAAGCAGTTTCACATGGCTCAAGAATATTTCTCAGTGATTTAATAAGCATTATTATGACACGACTTTGGAGAGAAAGTTCAAAATTTTAATGATTCACAGTCCAATTTTACATTATTTTCCTTATCATTAAAAATAAACATGAGAGTTGCCCAAATAATTTCAGAAACAGAATTAATTCATTTAATATAATTCATATAAAGATATATATTTAATTTGTATAAATTTTTTCAAACATTTCAAGCTACAGATATGACTAAATTTTATTCATACTTATCAAAAAAATAAAATATCCTCAGTTGTGAATTTTTCCAATAAGAAAAAATACTTTATTTGAGTGTACATTTATAAGTGAACTTTTTTTCTGCACAGTTCAAATTTATACGAAAAGAACTAGATTGACTGATGGTTATCAGGCAGTGCAGCTCAAATCTGTAACCAGAAATACTTTGAAATAAATTGAAAACTGTTTATTTTTAGCTTAAGTAAGTAAGTTAGTCATTGATTCAACATGCTAGAATTATTTGCAACAAGTTGCTTTCAAATGTTGCATTTGGCCAAATTCAATTTATGTTTGAGACCACTCCTCTTCAATAACATTTACAGAAATTTTTACAGAAGAATTTACAGAAATTTACAGAAAATTAAATGGATACTGTCTTAGAAGAAAAGTTTCATTATATTTATACAAACCTTCTGAAAGGCACGCCTTCTGTATTCTCCATCCCCTGTGAAAAAAAAAAAAAAAAAAGAATCAAGGTATTATCTGAAATTTAAAGAAACATGTGTACTGATTATGAGTAAAAAAAAGGCTTAACTCTCTCTATAAAAATTTAATGGCCATGGTTTTGAATTTCAATGACAAGAGCAATTGGTGACATATAAAATTCAAAACTGCAGAAACAACAGTAAATACTGAAAATGCTACGGTTTTTTGTTTAAAGGTGCTGCTGCTGTAGAGAAATAGTTGTCAATAGGATTTGTTAATTTATATAAAAGAGGAAACGAAAGTTATAATTTTTTGGAGACTAACTGAAGAATAAATTATTAATATTACTGTGACTTAATAACCAATTACAAACATTTTAAATTTAGGGTTGGGAGAGTAAGAGAAACAAAGAAGCCCCATATAGTGAAAAACCAGATAATAGCCGTTTTCTGTGTTAGAAATGTACACCTTACATTATGTAAAATTCTTATAAACTGAAACATAATTTTGATAGGGAATTCTAACCTCTTTTTGCAACTCAACTCTTGCTGAGATCCGATGACATCATCTCAAACTATGAACTCTCGCTAGAGATCACGAGAACTCGGGACTGAGAAGTCGCCGCTGCGTCGTGCGAACATTTAAACCTTTTCATTATGTAAATATTCAGTAACCGTTTGCTTCTTCATTAAATATCTTTGTGTTACAAAAGTTTATCATTTATGGATTATCCCTTTCAAGATTTTGCAGGTATTCACAGAGAAGAAATCATCCAGTGGCCCTGGCCGAACCCATTGGAACAAGGTAAGCAGTTTTGTTTTACCTTGATTAATTAGTTAGAAGATAAGGATATAAAATAATAATACTTCTAAAGCACTAGTTCCCAATGTATGTTCCATGTGTTCTCCAGAAAAATAATGCTCGGATGTTCCTTGGAACCATCGTACGAAAAATTTTTCACTCTCAGTCCTTCCAGAATTTCTGAAATCTGCTTGAAGCTTCTCAAAACTCACATAAATATAGTTTTGCTGTGTGTTTTACTGCTTCCAAGGTTTTAAACTAATACTGTGTGTTCTTGTGAATGGTATAAATTTAGTGTATTCACCACTATTTTTTAAAAGAAATTACTTACTTTCCTTTATTATAGCTGATGGAGTATAAAATCAGATGGTGTACAAGATAATAAGAATGTCTGGGAAGAACAACAGGAGAACATTTTTATTAATATTAATTTGGGTAACTTCATTTTAACACACTGTACACAATATAGAGTGGAAGCATTTGATGGAATATCAAGGCTTCTGTAAAGCAGTATCTAGTTTCAAAAGTATAATTGAAGGCAAAATTCAAGTGAAAAGTTTGAACACCAAATAGCCTCCCAAATGTTTAATTCTTCATACCAATAATAGTTTAATTGCTCATGCCATAGAATGAAGAAGGCCTGATACAAGGTTCTGTTTTGTAAACATATACTTCAAGGGAGTGCTTGAAAAAAAAAAAAAAAAAAAAAACCACCTAAAAGTAGAGAGCCATTTTGAAAGGCAGGCATTCTCCACGGTTGCTTTCAAATGTTGCATTTGAACGAGGAAAGCATAGAGGAAAGCATGGATGTCATCCATCTGGATATTTTGAATTTCCCATGTAAAATAACAAGTCAGCAAGACTGTAGTGGAGATACTGAACATCATACATAAAAGGCCATCATTTTCATAATTTATAGTCAGCAAAACATATAGACATAAATGATTCACTAGGCATTCTCAAAACATAAATGACATAAAGATGGAAAAATGGAATGGAAAACAGAAGATTTGGAAGGTAAAAAAGCTGTACTTCAACGTAGTCATTATGTCCTGATTTCTCCATCTAAAGCATGGTCAACCACAATCTTATCTCTGGTGGACTGCAAAGAATCTCTCTTACCATCTGTTTTGTATGTTCACTGTTCAGATTAGTCATTCTAAACACTATGTACATATCTACAAATTGGTGTTTAATAACCACTAGAAACCAAGCTGTTAATTTGAAATTCCCCAAAACAATCTATGACAATTGTAAAATTTTTTACCAACTTTACATATAGTTAACCTAAAAATATGATTCTCTCTTTTAAGCAGCAGGCTAAGGTTAGAGCTTAGCGCCTCACAAAACTGGCTGCTCCAAAAGCAGATTTTGCTTATTTAGTATGAAAAGGAATTTGTAGTCCTTCTAAAAGCTGATGGAGTATCCCTCTGCACATGGTAAAAAAATCAGGTGGATTTTTGTGACCTCGCGGCAACTACTGTAAATGAAATTAACCATTCCAGGTAATTATCCAATGAGGCATCAATATGATTTTACATATACTTTTAACAATAAGGCTATTTTTTCAACATTATACCTCAAAAAGTGCATCACCAGGTACCAATGACTAAAGAGGACATACCAGAAATGGCATTGGTTACCCCTATTGGATTATTTGAGTTTAACTGCATAACATTTTCCTTACGAAATGCTGCGCAAACTTCACAAAGACTACTAGATCAAATTCTGTACGATTTAAATTACTGTTTACTATATATGGAAAGGATGTTTTGATTCCTTCATCATCTCTCAATGAATATCCTTTATATCAAAGAAGTTTTTAAGAGGGGAAAAAATCATAAGTTGACTGTCAACCTTCCTAAATGCAGGACGTGTAAAATTCTTTGGTGACATAATTGACAAAAATAGAATCATTCTTTTTGAAGTTATCCAAGATTTCCTGAAAACAAAAACTATTTTTGAACTCTGACATTTTTTGAGAATTCTTAATTTCTATAAGAAGTTTTTAAATCATTCTGGTGAAGTTAAACTTCCTTTAAATGGTACACTGGGAAGTTGTAAGAAAAATGACAAAATATTCTTAGATTGGTCAAAAGACACTGAAACACTTTTGAGTCTTGTAAACAGCTTATGGCACAAGTTACAAATTCTGTCCACCCAGACAAAAAAAAAAAAAAAAAAAAAAAAAATTATATACATGGGAGCCACTAGGATACTTTTCCAGAAAATTGAGTCATAATGAAAAGAAATATAATATATTGGACAGAGAGGTTTTTACAATATTTGACACTATTAAATCCTTCAGATATCTGTTTGAAGGAAAGCGCTTTACAGTGTTTACAGAACATAAGGCACTCACAAAAGTATAACAATTTTCCCCCTTGCCAAATTAATAACACTTAATTTCATAGGTCAATTCACTACTGATATGCATCACATGTGAATGGTGCAAAAAAATTGTCCAGTCTCTTTCTCACATCAAATGGTTACTGATGTCATTCCTGTCAACTATGAACCTATTTTGCAAGCATTGGTTCAATGCAAGCATCAATTTTGCAAGCATCCAACCAGTATTGAATGAATTTAAATTCAAATGTAAACTTTCTGCTAACTGACTGCAAAGAAGCCACAGAGTTTTAAAACATGAACAGAATCATGCTTTTTGTTCACCTAAAGCTTTATCAATGAAACAGTTTGCTTAATTCTTCTTGGAACTAAGTTCTTATTCTATGTCTCTAGCACAAATACTTCTTTAGAAGAAGGATGATGTAATGTAAAATTCTATGAGTTCAAATCTAAGAAGGTTCAATGCATCTGAAGCAGCTTGATTTTACTGAAACTTTTATTACCATTACAAGATTAACTAAAGCCAATTGGAAAATAATGCACTAACCATCGAGTTAAAAAGAAGAAAATAACAATAAATATACATGAAAGATTCCAGCATATGCTAAAAAGATTTTTACTCTAAATTACCTGCTTCGATGAGGGCCTCTAATTGCTCCTCCCATTCGTCAATCATGTTCAATTTCAAGTGCAGTTCTTTGCACTGAAAAGAATAAAATCAAAATTAAAGTGTTGTATAAATTATGTTTACATTTAAATGAAAACTTCAGTAAATTTTATATAAGCCCTAAATACATACAAGGTGTGGCTATTAATTTTCAGGACTGCTCTAATAAAACCAGAACAAATGATGTGAAAAACGTAACCTTTTAATATGTTTCGAAGTAATCCCCATCTGCCGTAACACACTTTTGTGCTTGGCTGTATAAATTGTGGAAACAACTTTTAAAGTCCACTTTCGGAAGCCTCTTCAATGTTGACATCAGGTTCTTCTTGATGTCTTCAACATCCACAAACCGTGTTCTTTTGATCACAGCTTTGAATTTGGGAAACAAAAAGAAGTCTGTGGGGACCAAGTCAAAAGAATATGATCGAACAATTCCCAAACTCCAAACTGTGACGAAAGAAACATGCTTTGTGGAAATTGAAGACATCAAGAACAACGTGACGACGACATTGAAGAGGCTTCCGAAAGAGGACTTTAAAAGTTGTTTCCACAACTTATACAGCCGAGCACAGAAGTGTGTTACGGCAAATGGAAATTATTTCAAAACATATTAAAAGGTTACATTTTTTCACATCATCTGTTCTGGTGTTATTAAAGCAGTCCTGGAAATTAATAGCCACACCTTGTATATTCTTTGTTTTCTAAGCTTACACTACTCTACTGTTACAAGAGACCTGCACTTGTATTTGCGTTTGCTTACCGAAAGAAATACTAAAAAGGACCTATACTCTATATATGTAGGTATGCTCTATATTAAAAAAGGTATATTATATATAAAAGAGGGTATACGCTATAAAAAGGGGGTACATTCTATATAAAGGAATACCCTTTTTTATATAGAGTATAGCTATATATATACCAGGTTGTTCAATAAGTTCGCGGAACGGAAATGAAGAAACCAATTTTTATTTGTAAAAATGACTTTTTCAACGTAGTTTCCCTCAACTTCAATACACTTATTCTATCGGTCTTCTAATTTATGGATCCCTTGACTGTATTGGTTTTTCGGAAGCTCTGCAAAAATATCCCTCCACGACAGCTATTATCTCTTCGTTTGAAGGAAATTGTTTTCTACGGAGATATTGTTTGAGGTGTGGAAAGAGCCAGAAGTCGGAGGGAGCTAAATCTGGTGAATAGGCTGGATGTTGCAACAATTCGTACTTCAATTCAGTTATTTTAGCAATGGTTTTTTGAGCTGTGTGTGCAGGTACGTTATCTTGGTGGAAAATGATTTTCTTCTTTTGTAATCCTGGTCTTCTTTCACGAATTTTTTCGTCTAATTGATTCAAAAGGTTACAATAATAATCCAAATTAATTGTTTTGCCAGTTTGAAGGTAATCTATGAACAAAATTCCTTTCACATCCCAAAAAACTGATGCTAAGACCTTCTTGGCTGATTTTTGCACACAAACTCGCTTCGGCGCCGAAGAGCCGGATTCACACCACTCCTTAGCCTCCTGTTTTGATTCAGGATTACGATGGTAGATCCAGGTCTCATCCATTGTGATAAATTGATGGATAAAGTTGCTTTTATTCTTCTTAAAACACTCCAAATGTCGCAAAAGTCGCATCCAAATGTGTTTTTGCTCCATCATTAGAGAATGCGGCACCCATTTTGCACAGAGTTTTTTGAAATCCAAATTAACACTCAAAATATTGCTCACTGTGCCCAATGAAATGCCTAAAGCCTCTGTTAAATCTCTTTCAGTCAATCGACGGTCTTCCAATACCATATCTTGTATTTTTCCGATGATTTCCGGTGTTGATGCAGTTTTTGGATGTCTCTCTAACGAATCGCCTTCAAGGCTGGTACGACCACTTTTGAATAAATTAATCTATCTTTATTATTTTATGAGTTATTAAACATCAAAATGGGTCAACCGGGACTTTATAAACACCTTGTATATTACTCTGTAGGGGCTGTATATATATATATATATATATATATATATATACTCTTACACAGGGGCTTCATGTACAGTTTTACACAATGCAAGTAGAGCCTATGGGCCACAAAAACTGGAAACTTATATACTGGAGGTGCTGGTCAACAGAAGAAAATTTTTCAAAATATATTTTATTTCAAACTAGTTCACTAAAACGTTGTTTACTGAACTGCTTTGAAATAAAATTCATTACTTGCATACTGGAAAGAGAGGCCTAGAAAGCATATTAAAATGCAAATTAACAATGAAGATACTTTTTTAATGACCTGAATGTCTAAAAGGAGTGTGTCTTTTAAATCTGTATCTGTGTCTTTTAAATCTTGTATCTTTATTGTAGTAACAGCAGATTTTTGCATCCACTTCAGATCAGAATCCTGAGTCAAAATGATTTTGTGTTAAAACAACATGTGATGAGCCACAGCAAGATGGAAAGTCAGTCGCCAACAGATCCTAGCATCCAACATTTCAGTGAGCTAAGAGGTAATTACCTAACCTGGTTCCAAGAGGTAGGAAGCATTTATAGGCATATTGGTCAATGTCTTTCACAAGTTTCCACTTCAAAGAATGACCCTCATTTTCTAAAAATAATGGTGCCTCTGAACAGAAGACAAAATGCCACCCAGCTGCAAAGCAAGCTTCCACTGGCTATTACAAGAAGCTTACACAAAGAATTTACAAAGGTCTTTCCATGTGTGGGCTAGTCGTATGCATTTCTGTCTTCAGAGCAGTTTAAAGCTTGAAGAAACTGCTCTTAAAAAGTATGATATTTGACTAACGCACAGCCAAGCTTTCTTCAACAAGAAATCCAGATTTGGCCCACAGACGTCTAATCAATGACTTCTGATCTGGACAGAATGCAACACTCGAGAAATTCTTGAAATATTGGTAATTTCTTGTACTGCTGCCACTGGCAATTCCTCCCTTTTTTACACATCAAAATGGCCAAGTTCATTCAAGTTCATACATGAGGAGGAAATAACAGACCATATGGAATGGTGCTCAGAACTGAATCCACTGGAACATGACGGGGATACATTGTTGATAGACTTTTAACTTTAGCTATTGCACATTCAGTAGGGAAACCTGGGGAAAATCTCCCATAACCTCATCTATCAAGTAACAAATTTAGTTTCCCACAGACTCAAGATATCTACAGTCTTTATTAAAATTCTGACAAAATTCTTTAATGCATCTCTGTTTTTTTCTCTGAAAGACATGTGTAAAAATGAATTTTTTATAATAAATGCGTTTCCAATAAATTTAGCCTTTCTTACATTTTTATTAAGTTGTCACATTCATAAATATATTTAATAGTATACCGCATATTTAATCAGCAGCTATCTGTTTATTTAAATTGCCTATCCCCTTATCAATTGAGCGGAGTACATACTCAATATAGAGAGCATTTTCTTTATATAGACTTTAGTTTTATTAAATAACTCTGAATGAGACAGGAAAGAAAAAAAGGTGGGTCAAATGAAAGGGTTCAGATTTTAATAACTACTCAAAAGAAATATTTTTTTATGTATTACAGTTTATAGGTTAATACTGTCGACAGACACAGTCCATGTGGAAATGCAAAACATTTCACATGAAATTAGATGAATATTCATTTAGACTGGCATGAGAAATACATACATGCCAACCTTTGACACTCAAAAATCAGGAATTTTTTTAAGAAATCAGGAGATTTTTCTCAATGTTAAAAAGACTTTTTAAATGACAAAAATATAGTTTTTAATAATGAATTAACTTTAAATAGTAACTAATTCTTAAATGCAAGCAACACAAAAATACCTTACGCATAAAAAAACATTTTTATTACTTGCATCGTTTAAGGGGGGGGGAAAAGAGGGAATTTTAGTTTAAGAAAAAAACTTCCTAATTTTGTTCACTGCAATTGCCACGTAGGCCTGCTTTCGCTAAGAAAAGTTTTTCTAATGTGTTATCACTAATATTAGATCTAAATTTAGTTCTCATTTACGCAACAACACTGAAAATCCTCTCACACTCTGCACTACTATGGGGAACTGTCAAGATGGCCAACACAATTCTAGACAGTTGACTATATTTTAAAATTCCATCAGCACCTTTCAGTTTTCCAATTAAACTCCACTGGGTGTCAACCTACCTGATTTTATAACTTCATCCAAGTTTTCTAATTATAAACTGCTGTTATGCTGCTTTTGGAACTACTTCAATTTTTCCTTCCTTTTAGAACTCCTTAGAAGATAATAATAAATATCAACAATGCATTCATCCACATTTATTGGTAAAGAAGCTACCCCTTTTTCAGCTGCTAAATCTAAGAGGTGACAGGTGCACCTCATAATCTGCAAATCTGAATTTTCCTTTCTTAAGATGCCTGCAACACCAGTCTTTTAAGCCTACCAATACTGGTGCATTATCAAGTTTTAATAATTAGCTGTGCTATATTAAAACTTGTCAAATGTCCTTCTAAAGTGGGGACAGAAAATAAACTGCACTCAATTTCTGAAGACTCCAGATTAAAAAAAGAAACAACAATTGGGTACAGTTTTGAATCAGTATTATTGCTTCCATCCGTAGAGAGGCAGAACGGAGTTGTTTTAATGCAATCAATAACTGAAGATTTATTTTTCAAGCCCATTTCTTTAACAATTGCACCTGTTTTGGTTCTTACACTTGAGTATTTCTTAGCGATTTCACTATCGCGAAACATTTTTCTAAATAAAGCTGCAGTGTGATCCTATGCATTCAGTGGCAGGTTGTGCTCAAGTAAAAAGGCAGAGAACAGACATTCTGCATTAATAACTTTTTGGTCCTCTGTTTTCGAAGAAAAATTTAATTTTCCGTTTTTTTTTCAAAACAACTCATGTTGTCCTTTTGTTTTTGTGTACGCACATGTTTGAGAACATCCGCCCTTCCACCATGCTCGATACCCATTGGAGAACTGGAGAACGATGTTTCTGGATACGTATATTCTTTCACTCACAAAGCAGAAGTTATCTGATTCGCAAGGTTTTGTTTTTTAATAATTTAGAGAAAATTCAATTGCTTTCAGACGTCCAAAATCTCTTTTTTTTTTTTTTTTTTTTTTTTTGTTTATATAAGAAAGTATTAAGCCAAGTTCCATAAAAATCGTGAGAAATTTTAAGAATAAGAAAAAGTCGGGAGAAATATATTGTAAATCGGGTTGGCCGGAGAGCGGTTGAAAATCGGGAGTCTCCCGCCTAAATCGGGAGAGTTGGCAACTCTGGAAATATTATGCACTTTCTGACCACTTAAAAAGTGAAAAAATGTGTTATGTAATTCTATAAAAATATTTTTAATGTTTTAATATGATTGATTTTAAAAAAAATTATGACTTAAATCAATATTTAATTAAATCAATTATATTAAAAAATTAAAGAAATAATATTCTTATGAACAGCATCTATTGCTTTTATATAGTTTGTCAATTCATAACGATACAATAAATAATGTCGCCTGTCAAGTACTTTTAGTGGGATAGAAATAGCAGTCAATGTGTTGAATCTGAAGTACAATAAAATATCTCATTTGAGCATCTTTGAAAATAAAGTATATTAACAAAAACGAAAACTTTTCTAAGGCAGTCGTCTCAACATGGTGGCCTACAAGCTGCACGTGAATACCTAAAGTAGTTTCACATAGCTTGCAAATATATTCCCAGCAGTTTAATTAGCATTATTATCACAAGACTTTAATGAAGAGAAAGTTCAAGACTTTAATGATTCAAGAATCCAGTTTTTCACTATTGTACTTATTAAAAATAAGTATGAAAATTGCGTAAAAAAATTCACAAAAAGAAAAATCACTTTGTTTGAATGTACATTTAGATGTAAACATTTTTTCTATACAGTTGATAATTAATAAAAAAAGAATGAGATCGACTGATGATTCAGCAGGTATTACAGTTCAAATCTGTAGCCAGAAGTACTTGGAAATAATTTGTAAATCATTTATTTATAGCTTAAGTAAGTCACTGACTCATTTGGAAGATTCTTTCAAATCGTGCATTTGGCCAAATTCAGTTTATGTTTGAGACCACAGCTCTTAGATGACAACATCTAATGAAATAGATAAGAATGAAATAGATGTCTTGGAAAAGATTCATTATAATTATACAAACCTCTTGCAAGGAGAGCTGATGTGGTATGCTCTCTATAAAGAAAAAGAAAAAAAAAAAAAAAAAAAAGAATCAATATATTATCTGCAATTTTAAAAAGATATAGACTGATTTTGAGTTTAAAAAAAAAAGAATATTTTTCCAACAGAAAATATTTTTACATAAATATAGCAGCCACGGTGGTGGCCAATTGGTGATATATAAAATTCGAAATTGCAGAAAAAACAGTAAACACGTTTTGAACATATTAGGACACTAAATACAGTCAAAAGTCGTTAATTCGGACACCCATAATCCGGAATGATCTATAATCCGGACCTGAAAGCTACAAACTGTCTGCGCATGCGTCGCGTAAGACCTTTACAGCTGCGAATTTGCGTGTGCGCATGCGCAAAATACGTTTATGAATGCACGTTTAATATATAACGGATGGGATAAGCTAAGCTAAAATTATCTAATTATCTATTTCAGTTAATGTTGCAGATTGCGTTGTTCCTTAATCTTCAAATTGGATCCGGCTTATTATTTTTTGCAGACTGTTAGAGCAATTTTATAAAAGTAAGCTTGAACTTTCGATTATTTCAAATAGAATTTCCGATATATATTTACTAATATGTAAAGGATATACAAAGCGAAAGTATCTTTCGGAGTCCATTAAACAAAAAGTGGAATTGCTGCAAAAAATGGATAAAGGCATATCCTTTGTTTATCTAAACTTTAACGTTTGTTTATCTAAATTTTGTTTATCTTTAACACCACAGAGCGCAATGAATTGGAAGTTGATCTGTCAACACTATCCTTATCTTAAGGGCAGAAGTGTTTATTTTATTTGGCTTACAATTGCTTACTAAATGTGGTATTTCCTCTCGATGTACTCCATCTTTGATATGGTTTAAATCAAACGAAGAAAGTGACAGAGGTTATTGAAAACGAAAAAATTTCGATTGACAAATTAGTCGGTATTCTCGACACAGCAATTATAGGACTTGAACAACGGAGCTTTGTAACTGAACAAGAAATTATGTCTGTTTATGGAATTAAAGAGAATGTATTATCACATAAAAAAAGAAGCAACTTAAACAACTTACACTGAAAGAAATGTTTAATAAAATAAACAAATAAATATTAAGCTTTTTTTTGTGTAAATTTTGATACCCTTTAGATCATAATTGTTCTTTATTTCATAAATTACGGTTTCATATTTTTAATTTTATAATTTCTGCATGCCATTTTACCAGATTTAAACTGATGATCTATAATCCGGAAAAATCGATAATCCGGAATCACCGAAGTCCCGACAAGTCCGGATTAACGACTTTTGACTGTACATACAAAAGATTCAATTCTGGCATATGCCATTTTACTCTTAATTACCTCCTGTGAGGGCTCTTTCTAAAGTCCTCTGCACTTCACTGCAGGGATCCAGGAGCCTGCAGATGTCCTGAAAAGGATAAAATCAGGATTAGAGTCTGTATAAATAATGTTTACATTTAAATAAAAACTTCAGAAAGTTTGAAAGCAGTTTATTGCACTTCATATAATCTCTAACATAGATATCCTTTGCTTTATAATAGTTTACACCACTGCACTTTTACGAAAAAATTACACTTGTATTTATGTTTGCTTACCGAAAGAAATTCTAAAAAGAGTTTCTCTTATACCAGGGCTTCTGCACAGTATTAGACAATGCAAGTAGAGCCTACAGGCGACAAAAGCTGGAAACTTATACAGTACAGATGCTGGTCAACAGAAGAGAATATTTCAAAAAAAATTTTTATTCCAAGCCAATTCACTCAAGTCTCATTTGCTGAACTGCTTTGAAATAAGATTCATTACTCTTAATAACGAAAAGACAGGCATAGACAACTGTTCAAAATGGAAATTGACAAAAAAGAATTTTTTAATGTGACATGAGTACACATGCACTATTTGTTGTAGGAAAAGCAGATTTTTGCATCTATCTGAATTCAGAATGCTCAGTCAAAATTATTTTGCATTAAAACATCGTATCACGAGCCGTCCCAAGATGGAAAGCCAGTCTTTAACAGCTCCTAGCAACCAACACTCAAATAAACTAAAAGGTAACTGCCGAATTTGGTTCCAAGAGATGCTGGTGAATGTCTTTCACAAATTATCATTTCAAAGAATAGCTTTATTTGCTAATAATGGTACCTCTGAACAGGTGTCAAAATGTCCCACAGCTGCAAAGAAAACTTCCAATGGATCCAAGCTTTGATTGGACAAATGCAAAGCCAAGCTTTCTTTCCCAAGGAATCCAGATTTGGCCCATCCAAGACAGCTAATCCATAACTTTTGATCTGGACAGAATGTCACACTCAATAAAATATAATGCAGCACAATCTAAAAAAGAACTCGTTTTGCTGAAAGTAACATGTTTATTTCAACGTATGTGGATGTACTGACTTCTACGTCATTCAGACTGGATTTCCTTATGGTTCAAATGTAAGATTAAGATTTTAAGACATGCAAGAATCAGATTTTAAGAAGAAATTTTTAAAAATCTTCGTAATGCCTTGTATTGCTGCCACTGGTGATTCCACCGTTTGTGTACATCAAAATTTCCAGTTTGTGAACTTGAACAGTCAGGAAACCTGACAAAAATCTAACATAGCCTGACCCATCGAGTAATCAATTTAGTGTTTCACATAAGACATCTACAACCTTTATTAAAAGTGTGATAAAATTCCTTAATGTATGCCTCTTTTGTCTCCGCTAGATATGATATAAGGTGTATTATCTATAAAATCATCCTTTCTTACATTTTTACTTAGTTCTCACTCTCATAAATATACACTGCTGGCCACTGAAATTGCAGCACCAAGAAGGAAAGCAAATACAAAAAAGATAGTATACGTAAGTGGTATGGCATTGAGACAAAATCATTAAATCTGTAGACATTTTGAGGGTTTACAAGGTAAGTAGAAACAGCTGCCAGCCTTGGCAGCAAAAACGGTCCTTACCCGGTTAGGCATGGCATCAAACTGAGCCTGGGTGAGAGAAATGGCCAACTCATTAACATCAACCATATTAAGGGGGTTGGCGGCCCATTCTCTCAGCAACCCATGACCAAGTTTTCAATGGGTGACAGATCTGCAGACCAGGACAGCAATTGAATACCCTGTGTATCAAGGTAGGTCAGAACACTACATGTAACTTGAGATCTGGCATTATCTTATTGGAAGATGGTGTTTGTGACAGACATCAAAGATACTGCACAACTACTAGACATAAGATGTCAGAAATGTATTGATCTTTGTTCAAATTATCATCAATCCAAACTAGAGATGTGCATGTTGTGTACCTAATGGCTACCCAAACTATCACAACAGGTGCAGGGCCCCTATGTGGATATTGAATGCAAGCAGGTGACGTGTGGTTGCCTCGGAACCTCCACTTATGTTTATGGCTATCAGAATACTGCACGCAGAATCTAGACTCATCAGAAAAGATGACACTGTGCCACTCCTGTATCCAGCTTCATCATTCGTCACATCAGAGTTGCCATCTCTCTCTATGCTGCATTGTCAAGAGAAGCCAAAGTAATGGTTGCCATGCTGATAGTCCATGCTTCTGCAAACGTCAGCACACCATAGCAACAGATACTACGCATGCTACAAACATGCCCACTTCTTGACTAATGGTCCGTAATATGGTTGTATGGATTCACAGGGCTGACCTCACACTATGTCTGTCCTCTCGCGCACTAGTCATGGGAGGGCGCCGAGATCATGCATGCCGTTCAATATGAACCTCAACAACTCACTGATTCTTTATTCGCATGACAGTGGTTCGATGCCAACCAGGGTGACAGACAATACCACGGAACGATAATCCACACACTAGATAGGCAACGATCCTGCCTCTACCGAATTACGACACTTGCTGGTAAGCATTTCTTATTATTATTCGAGACATAAAATGATATTCTGAGCTAACTCCGATCTTAAAAAGCACTTTCCGAATGAGAAATACACAACTTTTCTTTTATGCAGTGCTTAAGATGTATTTCCCTCTGTATTGTCTAAATACGCTGAAATACTAATCATTCACATATCCCAACCTCTTCTTCCTTTCATATGATTTTGATGTTCGTCATATCATACCTTTCTGGCATTGCAATTTTAATGACCAGCAGTGTATTTAATAGTGTGCAGTGTATTTATCAGCGACTGTCTGTTCATTTAAATTGACTGTCCTTTTATAAGTTGAGAAGAGTACAAACTCAATACACAGTGCATTTTCTTTATAGTACATTGGTTTTATTAAATAATGAAACATTGAACGAGACAGAAAAGAAAAATAATATTGAAAAGGATTAAATTTAACAGTTCCTCAAAAGGGATCTTCTTAAATTTAATACAGTTTATCAGTCGAGACTGTGAACAGACATAGCCCAGGTGGAATATCAAAACATTTTATAGGAAATTAGATGAATATTCATTGAGGCATATTATGTATTTTTAGTAGATTTAAAATGTGAAAAATACTTTATATAATTCTATAAAAGTATTTAATACTTTAATCTGGTTGATTTAAATAAAAATTCATGATTAAAATGAATATTTATTTCAATCAATTATACTAAAAAATTAAGAAATAATATTCTCACGACCTGCATCTATTGCTTTTACATAGTTAATTCATAACAATATAATAAATAATGTGTCGTGTCCAGAACTTTAAGTGTGATAGAAATAGCAGTCAAAATGTTGAATCTTAAATGCATAAATCATCTCATTTTGATTATCTTTGAAAAGGAAGTACAGTCAAAAGTCTTTAATCCGGATGCCCTTAATCCGGAATGATCTATAATTCGGACTTCCAAGCTATAAAGTTTCTGTGCATGCGTATCTTCATAATGCGTTAAAGCATGCGCATAATGCCTTTACGCTTGCACATAATACGTTTACGCATGCGCGTTTAATATATAATGGAAGGTATAAGCTAAGCTAAAATTATCTAATTATCTATTTCAGTTAATGTTGCAGATAGCGTTGTTCCTTAATCTTCTAAATGGATCCGGCTTATTATTTTTTGCAGACTGTTAGAGCAATTTTATAAAAGTAAGCATGAACTTTCGATTATGTCAAAAAAGAATTTATGATATTCCCGATTCTGGAGCTGCCAAAGGATCTACAAAGCGAAAGCATGTTCCAATGTCCATCAAACAAAAAGTGGAATTGCTGCAAAAAATGGATAAAGGCATATCCTTTGTTTCTCTAACATTCCGAAATCTGTTTATCAATTTCACGCTGCTCTGCCGGGAAGGAGGGGGACATTGCGGCGCACAATGAACTGTAAGTTGATCTATCAACACTATCCTTATCTTCAGGGCACATTTTTATTTTATTTGGCTTATAATTCCTTACTAAATGTAGTATTTCATCTCGATGTACTCCGGCTTTGATATGATTTAAATCAAATTCCTCGTCATTATAAATATCACGAATACCCATCAAATAGTTTTCTGGTTGCAATTTTCTAATTTTGACTATGCGTAATGTAAGCTTTACGCATGCGTGCATTGAAAGAAATATTTAATAAAATAAACAAATAAATATTAAGCTTTTTTTTTTTTTTTTTTAATTTTTATTTTGATACTCTTTAGATCATACTTGCTCTTTATTTCATAAATTACTGTTTCATGTTTTTAATTTTATAATTCCTGCATGCCACCTTACCAGATTTAAACTGATGATCTATAATTCGGAAAAACCGATAAGCCGGAATCGCCGAAGTCCCGCCGAGTCCGGATTAAAGACTTTTGACTGTATATTAACAAGAAAGAAAACCTTTTCTAAGGCAGTCATCTCAAACTGGTAGCCTGCAGGCTGCAAGTAACCCCCTGAAGCAATTTCGCATAGCTTAATAATAGCTTAATAATATATACCCATCAACTGAATTAGCATTATTATGACAAGACTTTGATTCAGAGTCCTGTTTTATATCATTTTGCTTATGATTCAAAACGAGTATAAGAACTGCCCAAAAAATTCACAAACAGAACTAATTTATTTAATATAATTCATATAAATATATATTTTTAATGCATATAAATTTTTCACACATTTCAAGCTATACATACATATGACTAAGTTTTATTCATACTTCTAAAAAAAATAAAATATCCTCATATGTGAATTTTTGCAATAAGAACAATCACTTTGAGTATATATTTAGATGTGAACATTTTTTCTGTGCAGTTGATAATAATTATGAAAAAAATGAGATTGACTGATGTTTATCAGGTGGGTGCAGCTGAAATCTGTAGTCAAAAATAAAGAAATTCACTCTTTGATGAACAAATATATGGATTTTTTTTTTACATACATCAAAGGAAAACTTAATAAGTATAAGAAAGAGAATAAGTTGTCTTTATTTGCTCTCACATTTTGTCCAGCTGGAAATATTTTTTAAAATGATTATTTTTAGCTGAAGTAAGTTAGTCATTAATTCAACTTAATTAGATGGTTTGGTTGGTTTATGTGACAATGGCAATTTGTGGAGGACTTTCTAAGGAAAACCGGTTTGTACACACATTACACCTGAGGAAAACCATGAAAATGCCCATGCAGCCAACCTGTATGTGGCTTTCGAACCTGCAACTGAACTACCAGTGTTCAGCGACTTGGCCATAGGTGTGCTGAACATATTTAGAATTATTTGGAATAAGCTTTTTTCAGATCGTGCATTAGGACCACATTCAATTTATGTTTGAGACCACTGCTCTTAGATGACAACATACACAGAAAACAAATTGATAATGCCTTAGATAAGTTTAATTATAATCATACAAACCTCATCTGTCGTCATTCTCTCCTGAATCCCTATAAAAGAAAAGAACTAATATATTATCTGAAATTAAAAAAAAAAAAAAAAAAAAAAAGGATATATGTACTGAGATATATACTTGAAGGCCATAGTTTTAAATATCAATGGAAAGAGCAATTCATGACATACAAAATTCAAAGTTTATATATCAGTAAACACTTTGATTATGCTAAGGGTTTTTGTTTAAAGGAATGACAACTGCTGCTTTAAAGATTAGTTATCAATATGATTTGTTAATTTCACAGTGGGCAGATAAATGAGAAAATGACAGTTATATTCTTGGAGACTAACTGAAGTAAATATTATTAATTCTTTACTTACACATTTACTTCCAAGTGACTCTTCAAGACTAACAATTCTAGCATGCACGAATGCTGCAGGAACGCACAAGTGTAAGCTTTTCGTAATTGGGTAAAAATTTACGGCATCGAGAATTTAGATGAATAAAGATTTTCCCCACTATATATTGTGCAAATAAAAGAGCATGGATAACAGAAGCAGTAATAAATGCCTGGTTTGAAAATCATTTCACACCCAATGCTCGGCAATATTTGAATTCACTTGGTTTACTGATGATGCAAAAATTGTCCTGATTGCAGACAACAGTTTATCTCATACTTTACTTAAAGTTTAGTAAAAGATAATGTATTGTTATGAAATGTCCAGGCATGGTTAGATAGCTTCCCCACAAGGCAGGTTTAGGGTTGCCACATTTGTCAAACAAATTGGTGATATGCCACAGACGGATGGAGAACCTTCTGGAATGAATTCTTACTGGTTTAGCCCAGAATGTTCTCCAACACAAGCCAAAAGCTGTATCAGCCCTGCTGGTACGCGGAGACTCAGTTCGTCCATGCAGAGTTTGCGTCTCATCTGGCGAACTGACAGTCAGTGAGCTCGCGAATGTCTTAAAGTCTAGTGCCGAGCTGGTCATCGATAGCTTCATGAGAGTCTAGTGCATTGTCAAGTTTCATCTTAGAATATGTTAAGCTCCGGGAACAACTGGACTGAGTCGGAAGCTGTACTCTAGTGTATCATCGAGTGCACTGCAAGTTGTTGCATTGAAAGTCTCAAGAGCATGTGAAGTTCCAAGAACGACTGAACCAAGTCAAGAGCTTTACTCTGGAGCTTTGCCCTGAAGCTGTCTCCACCATTATAGCCTGAAGGCTGTGTCACTGATTGTGCCAGAGTGTTTATTGTATTCTTCGACTGTAAATGTGCTATTGGAGCTGTCTTGAATAATAATACTGGCTAATAAATTGTGTTTAGATACTTCATTAAGTGTCATCGTTATTCACTCCAAATCTTCAAACCCATATGTGAAGAGAAAAACATGTCAGAAGTGTGATTTGCAAGTGAATGCTAGTGACCCGCCTGCAGAGGAAAGCCATGGCGGAGGAAATGAAGACTTTGATGGACTTCTTAGCCGAGATAAGAGCTGAAAGCCAAGATCAAAGCCAGACAAGACAATCTGCAAGAGCAACTGCAATGGATAGTAGTGAAGCAAAAGGAGATTAGAAGCGACATCATGGAGTTTAGAAAGAAATTGTAGTCACAAGATTTTGAAATGACAGAAGTGGCATCCAAAAAATCAAAGGATGAAGAAATGAAGGAAGCAGCTGGTGAAGTGTCCGAGAAAGTCCAAGAATGTTAAAAGAAATAAGGGATGAAACATCTTACAAGACTGAAGAAACAGAACTAAAAGATGAAGAAAAGGAAAGACGATTCTCAACCTCAAGAGTCTGAAGTTGAACTGGAAGAAAGTGATAATACTGTTTGTAAAGATGATGAAATAAAAGAAGTAGCTTGTAAAGCTTCTGAAAGAGGTGAAAAAATAATTCATAAAAATAAAGTTTGGATTCCAAAGTGCCTGAAGTAGTGATAGAAGAAAATGAAAATATGACTGTCAAGATTGTAGAAACTGATAGTGAAGTTACAAAGTCGCAGTTAGCAAGTATTGAACCATCTGAAAGTTCATGCGATGCTGATATGGAAGAAGCTGATGTACAACTTATGCAGAGGGCTCTAGTATTGCAAGAAAATTCACCCACTTCGCAATCTATGTGTGTGCCTCATAATGCAGGTTGTGCAGACAAGGACTTGATTCCAAACCAGGATACTCTTGCTTGTAAAGGATCGAATTCTATTCATGACCCTGGAGCAAACATCGCAACTGGCATTCAGGAAATAGAGGTAGCATGTAGCATCTGCTAAAAGTATTGAGGTGAACTGTCATGATGATAAATACAGAGTGATGAACAACTTTTCAGATCCTGATAAACTGAAAGGACTGTGATAAAAAACATCTGAATGCAGTGAAAAGTATTTGACCGGGTATAACTTAAAAATAGATTGAAATTCATCCTGAACTTTAATTTGTATAATTTAAAATTGTTATGTGTTTAATTTGTGTATATAACTTGTACATAGAGTAAATAATTGTTCCTTTAGTTATGCTATTTGTTTGTTTCATTATGTCTTGTTTGTATCGAATTTGGCTTCTGACAAAGGGTTGTACTGCCCAGGACATGCAATCCTTGAGAGGGGCAAAGTTACGAAATTACTTATTTAAATGTTTCTTGATAGTTTGATATTAAATTAAATTCCACTGCTACTTTGAAATACATTTTTTCATCATTTTGTTCAAAACAGGGTCTTTAAAATGCCGTGCATAGTTTGTGAAATGCACACTGCAACTCATCTAAACAACTAAACTAATTCAAACGCACTTCAAACAAGCGGTGAAAATGATGTATTCCATGACATGCTGATGACGTATTCTTGAGAGATACAATTTGAATTGTAATATTTATTTTTTTTTTAATATTCTAGTGTTCGTCTACACATGACCCCTTAATTCAGTTACATTGTTTTTTTATTTAAATGCTGATTCAACACTGAAGGAGATACAGTCACGTCGGGAAGAAAAGGTAGGCAGAATTTTGATATTCCTATTGAAATAAAAACTTTAAAGAAAATTAAAAAATTACCAAGTTAATTTTTTAACATGGTATGCCTCGCCGGGATGGTGACATGTATTTTTATTTTAATGTAATATAATTTTTCTGAAATATATTTGAATATCATATTTAGTATTGAATTAAGCATATAAATGTAACATAAATTAAGTAAAATGGCTACTGAAGCATTAACGTTGTGCACTCGAAAATGTTCAACATTAAGGGCGTCAGTTACAAAACTTAGTTCAAAAATTGAAGCAGAAATTACAAAAACAGAAGTAACTGCCGCTGATAGTGAGCTTGAGCTTTACTTAAAACAATTAAACGACAAATTTTTGAAAGTCTCAAATTTGTGAATACTGAAGTAGAAAATTAACAGATCCCAAAGATCTTCATAAAGAGATTCAATCTGCCGAAGAATGCAGAGAAAAAATCATTACATGGACATTCAGAGCAAACAAATATTTACGATGTCTGAATCAAATGAATAAAAGTCATTTGGCTCTTCCCATTTATCACTTAATTTGGATTCAAATCCTCATGTGAAATTTCCTCATCCTTAATGTGAAATTACCTAAAATAACAATTCCAAAATTTTATGGAAAGTTAAGTGATTCGCTTACACTCTGGAACTCGTTCAAAACATCAATACATAATAACAAATCACTTGACGATGTTAGTAAATTCAGTTACTTAAAGCCCATTTGGCTGGAACTGCTTTAGAAACTATAGAAGGTTTTTCTATTTCAAGCGACAATTATAAAAAAAAACTGTTTCGTTGCTTGAAGATAAATTTGGAAGGAAAGCGGTTTTGATAAACACACACATGAAATAGTTACTAGAAATACCCACACTTAAATGTTCTAGTGACATAGTGAATTTTCGGAAATTATTTGATAAAATTCAAATTAATATTAGAAGCTTGGAATCGCTAGGTGTAAGTTCAAACATGTTCAGTGCCATGCTTAAAATGTCCAACAGATGGTGCTTCATATGAAAGCAAAAGCAATAATGAACTTAACAACTGATCTTTAGGAAAGACTTTCTTCTTCACATGTCGACTTCAACATGTCAACTTTCACTTCAACATGTCGGCCATCATTCATCAACAATACCTGTACATCATCAACAGCACTGTGCAGCATATGTATAGATATGGTCGAGAAATAGCCATCGGGTGTTGTCTTTTAACATCCCTAATGAGATCGGACAGGAGTAGACTTGCAATTTTAGATAACCCCACAACAAATAATCACAAGGATTGAGATCTGGGGACTTGAGAGGCCAAGCATAAACAAAAAAACAGCTCAAGGCATTACCAAGTGACTTAATATTCGAATTTAATAAAGAACTAGGAGATGAGTATTCTATTAATGATCTAATTGGCGTTTTGCACAAACAGTTAATGGCTAAAGAAAAAAACAGAAATGCACTTTCGTAACTCCCCAATACCACACCCAGATACATTTACTAATTCCAGGCTGGCTGCCGCACAATTAAAAAACAAAAAGTCCCGTCTCATGACAGCTTCCGAGTTATGGTTTATTCGGAGGAATTATGCACACAGAAAAGCACCAAAAGTATCGCATTAAACTTACAAATATAGATGGAAGCTTTAATTGTGAATTATTTTAGACGAAAAAAATGTGCTTCTGTTCTTCTGTAAGTTGAATGATTTGCACTGCTTAAACCAATTAAAAGATCTTGTTATTTTAATAAGTGATATGGTTATAAACTATAAATCTTGTCTATGCGAAAATAATTTGGATGAAATCCATTTACTCATTGGAGTTGACTGTGCGGGAGAATTATTAATGGGCAGAGCTTAACTTGAGCTGGAGCCCACCAGAGCCTGACTCTGGTACTTCTCAGTTTTTGAGATAAATAAAGCTGGCACTTCTTTTCTGCAAGAGAAGCCCCAATTTCAACAGAAAAATTTTACTAAGCCTGTCTTTCCCTTGGACACAGCTTCAGGGTTCGTACACATTTCTGCACATGGAAATTAAGTACTTTTAAGGACCATTAATGAAAAAAATTAAGGACCTATCAGCCAATAGGAGCTAAAAAAGGAGCTAGGATGCATTCTTATTAAACATAATTTTAAAACAAATTTGAGAATGAAATCCACATTATAAAGTTTAAAAAATAGCATTAAATATTTTACACGTATAATAGTTGGACATATTTGAAAGAAGACTGGGGACATTTCATTTACATTTTATTAATGGCTTTATGCTGATTTTTTCTTTTATGTCTCATTTTGCCATGTACTTACTCAGTCTAGAGGTTTAGTAAATAGCAGGTAAATTTTATGTCAAATGGCATAGGTTAAAATTAGAAATAAAATCATAATCAGCATGATTTGTAACAGAAGATTAGCTGCTGCTTGCCAGGAGAGAAACCTGTTAATCAGGAAAAACCTGAAAGCCTGTTGTAGGCACGGCTGGCAAGTTTTGAAAGTTAAGTTGTGCTTCGTCTGTCTGAAGCATATATGTCTGAAGCATACAATGAGAGTTTAGCAAGTACTTTATTATGAAATTGCAAAATATAAAATCCACTTGATGTTTAAAGAAAATTAATAGTTTCAGATAACTCAAACTTTCATGATGACAGTGCGTAGCACGAGTGTTCCACACCAAACAAGACTGAGTACTCTTTTATCAGATTCTCAAAACAGAAATATGCTAACCTGCTTCTTCTTCGAACACCTCTTCTTCGAGCGTGTCTTCTTCCCACGCGACTTCCTCCGGCGTGCGTTCTTCCTTGCGCACCTTCCTCCTGTGCGTCTTCCCCCTGTGCACCTTCCTCCTGCGCGACCATTTCCACCTCTCTGGTGTCCTGCACCAGAGGTGGCACGCAGGTCTCTATAAATGAAAAAATTAGCCATCATTAATTATAATAGCAAAAATTTGAAACTAAATGTGGCATGGATATATACTTGTAATTAAAACAAGATAATTACAAATTTCTTGATATAAAAGCAAGTTTTTTTTTTAACTGTGTGCACTAATAATAATGCATTATTTCCCCAAAATATTTCTCAGACTATAAAGATCTAATTGGAAAATAAGCCCCAGCATCATTTTCTTCGATTCTCAAACTAAAAGCCAGGGCTCAATGAAATTTTAAAGCTACTCCATGAAAGGAAAGTTAAAGGTGAAAGAAAGCTGATAGGCAAATATGCATCGACCACACATCAGCATAATTAAGATCCTATTAATTGCCAAAAATTATTGATAAAATTCATAATTCTTTCTTGATAGAAAGCTATATCGTGTAGTAAGAAAGAAATCATAAAATAAGAGGAAAAATATATGAAAATTATTTAATATATTTTACAAACCAATTACCGTATTTGATGGCATATAAGACGCACCCTTATTTAGACAGCCACACACAAGGAAAAAACGTTTCAATAGCGTGGTTTCTTTTAGTTCTCACGTTTTGTAAAAGCCAATAAAAAATTATTAAACAATTACCTTCACGTATAAGACGCAGGTAACTTTTTCGAGACCAAATTTAGGAAAAAAAAGCATCTTATATGCCGTCAAATACGGTATATTATTTTAGATTAAATATTTTTAAAAAATTGCATCAGTAGATTAGACCACAGCCATCACATTAAGTAATATCGAACTTTATGTGCGGTAAGAATCTGTGCTTCTTGAAACATGTTTATAAAATTAAAAATAACAGCAGCACAAAGAATAATAAAAGCATAAATCTAATAACAATCTTTTTTAAAAAACTTCTGCTTCTAATTATCTTAGCTATATTTACATGCAGTTGTTTGTATTATGATTATGTTGTATGCTGTATATTATGTAAAATGTAAGGAGTTCAATGAAGATCTTTCTTCTAGAAAGGGTTGAGGCAAGAAATGGGTTGGCATTACTTGCTACAAGCCCAAGGGCAAAAGCACTCGTGCCCATGACCAACTTTATACTTTGCCAATTTCAACATTTCTATAACCCACAAACCTATCACCTTCGCTTTTCAACAGCATTTAGACAAAGCCTCTCCCAGACAAGCAAGACAATCGAGTTATATTGCTCAATTTTCAACAAATATTTGCTTTGTCAATGCAGAAGGAAGTGTTGTTGCAGATGCTCTTTCCAGAATTAATACCGTCTCCAACTGATTACGCAACTACTGCAGAATTTTAAGATGAATGAAGAGTTAAACAAGTTTTAAGAAACAACTGGAGGCTGAGAATGGTTCAGATTTCCATTCAGGCACTGTACTGACAAAATTGATTTACTGAGATGTCTCTACCAACAGTAACCGCCCATACATCCCCTCAAACTTTCGCAGACAAATATTTTCTTCTATTCCTACCCTATCTCATACAGGGATTAGAAGCACAAGAAAATTAATCATGAAAAGATTCATGTGGCCAAATTTCAATAAAGATTGTCAGTTATGGTGTAGGGAACGCAATGGAATGCCAAAAAATGATATAAGGTTCAAAGACATACAAAGTTAGCTCTTAAGGACTTCAACATTCCACCTGAATGTTTTCAACACGTTCACATTGGTTTTGTTGGATCCTTACCTTCATGTCAAGGTTTCATACATTTACTAACGATGATTGATAGTTTTTCAAGATCGGTTGAAGCTCTTCCTATGGCAGATCAATTAGCGGAAACAATTGCAAAGGGGATGATCTCAACCTGGATTTCTTGTTTTGGAATACCACAGCATATTACTTCTCATCAAGGATGTCAGTTTGGAAGTCAACTCTTCTCATCTTTGAGCAAATACTTCAGTTTTCAAAAAATCCAAAACAGCCATCCATAGTATGGATGGGCAACTCAAGATTGGACTAATTGGGCTTGAAAATGTCATTTACAACAAAGCACAATCTTGGGTAGACACTTTACCCTTGGTTCTTCTGGGATTACGCTCTGCACTGAAAGAAGATACAGGATACTCTTCAGCAGAGCTTCTTTGTTCAAGTCCCCTCTGTTTACTCGAAGAATTCGTCACCACGATCCCTAATGTCACACACTCAGAGTTAGTGCAAAGTATTATCCATAACATGAAATAGTACAAAGTATAATCTGTAACATGAAATCTTCTCCAAAGACTACCCATGGATATACAAGCGTATTCATTTCAAAATGCATTTTGAATTGCTACATTTTCATCTACAATAACGCGGTCACTTCATCTTTGCAACCAGTTTATCTTTGGCCTTATGTTGTCAAACACCGAGCAGTGACGTAGCGAGCCTAACTGGTGCCCCCGGGGCAAAAATATCTTTTTGGCTACCCCCCAAAAAATCACAGTTAAAACATAGCTAGCATTTGATAATGAAATAGTAAGGAGTATTTGAAGTGAAGTGCTACACTTTGGTTTGGAAAAACATTTTCTTCATAGATCTGTAAGTGGAGTTTTAGGTTCAGTTTCTTTTCTACTGCGGAATAACATCCTTGCAGACATTCGCTGCTTCAAAAGAATTATGGGAACATTGCGAGTTTGGTATTAAATAACCATGTAATCGACAACCTTTTTAACAAAAGGAAATAGAAGAGATTATAAAGGAAAATTATAATGTTTACAAAGTTGGGAATATGCAAATTTAGTCTGTAACGTCGGAAACTATGCATTTTAGATAAGGAGCGACCTGTAGCATTCCTTTTTAGTAGGAGACTAAAAACAATCAGGCACGTATTGAATGCTTTGAAGCAGTGAATATACGATCTCTCAGCAAGATGACTTAGTTGAATCAGTAACCAGGAAGACCATCAGTTGTTTCCAGAATAGTCAAACGCAATCCATTGCAGCGGAAGCCTTACAAGTTTCCCAAAATGTCATTTCCAGATTATGGAATCGGTTTTTGGAAACTGGATATGTTTGAGAAATTTGGGACAAGGTCGTGTTACTGTTTTAAAATAAAAAAACGTGAGTTATACGTGCATTTCGTTTAAAAAAAAAGAAAAATATATCTCTTAGAGAAATAAAGTGGTCAGAAAGAATGTTTTGCATGTGGAGATATTTGGTTGATGCACGGGAAAATCTTGTTTGGAGACCATTTGGCACCCCTCTGCGAGCAGCGCCCGGGGCGTCATACACCCCCTTGCCCCCCCCCCTTCGCTACGCCACTGACACCGAGCACCAAGTTATTTTGGCATTGAAATTAATGGAACTGTTCAAAGAATTTCAGTTGATATGCTGAAAACCATGTTTTACCATAAAAGACAATGATGAGCAGCCTCTTGAAAACCATGGATTATCCAGATCCGCCCACGTAGCGCAAACCTCCATGTCAATCACAACCATACCACAAGCAGTGGAAGGACCGTCAGGTTTTCACCCCATTTAAAGGATTATGTCTCCTAATCATTTTTACTGGGAAGGGAATGTGTAGTGTCCTCTATGTTTCCTCTTCTTATCTTTAATGTCTGTACATTTTAATTTTGATAAGATGGCAACATAGGATTGTTGCCCAGCAACAACTGGTAGATTATGTGATTTGATTTGATGGAAAAATAAACGACTTGCGTTCTTTTTCTGAAGTCATCGAATTTTATCCATTTAAAAGAGTTAAAAGTTTATTACAGGTAATCTATCTTTGCAATGAAGTCCTAAAATGAGAAGGCTAAAATCGACACATGATACCTGTTCCATACTTGTAACTTTATCGTTTGGCTGAAGGAGCACTTTCCTGTTGCATTTTTGTTATTGTGCGTTTACTATGTTAATAATCCATTAGATGCAAAACCTGGCAAATGGAAATAATAATAAGTTTAGTCTGTGGTAATTGGTAACTGATATATTCCACTACATGAAGAATGCTTCCTCACAAAATGTGCTCACTGTAATAACTGTTTCTATTATCACTAAGAACAAATAATCAAAAGATATCGTTAATAAATGCATCTTATTTCTTACTATGCTAAACTACACATGCTATCTATATATAGTGCCTTAAGCCACATTAGGCTCCAGAGCTGCAGAAAGTCAGGTCCAAGGTTTCACTGAATATAATGAACACTGCTGAGCTAAAATATCTCTGGAATATCACCTTTTCCCTTCAATGAGATAATCCAACACCAGTGGCCTCACCATGCAAGAATTATAGCATTCGCCGATGATGTGGCATTTGTGATCAATGGAACAACAAGAGACTCTCTACATGATAATTGTAACAACATGCTTTCTATCTTCAATACTCTCTGTAAACGGATCCAATTACAAATTTCTCAAAATCTCAAGCTCTCATAATTCCTAAACCTGGCCACAATAAAACAAGAACCCCAATTATCAAAACTGACATCCACAAAATCAAATGTGTTTGCACCATAAAATATCTGGGACTCACCACTGACCACAAGTTCACATGGATTCCACACCTTTGAGAAAAGCGTACCACCACTGCAAAAACTGGAAAATCTCTCAAACCCATGGAAGGATACCAGTGGGGGCTCAACCATCACATAATGAAGCTACTCCTTAAAAACATAATTAACAAGACAGTCAACTACATGGCAGCCATATGGGCAGACTCCATGACTTCAAGAAAACAAAAATTATTAAATTCCATCTAACGCCCTATTAAATATTACAAGAGCTTTTCAAACAACATCCACAAACACACTCCAAGTCCTGGCGGAAGTGACACCACTCACAATAGAAGCAGAAATAGAAGCCACCACAACTACCATATTACAATTGAAAAAAAAACAGCAACCCTCCAAGACAAGGTATTCTGTCCTGATCAATATGAATACAAGCCAAAGAAATATCAAACTCACCCAGCCAAGACTCTCAAAAACTTAAGATGTAATCTGATTCAGCCACCTTCAAGACACCAATCTCGTTGCCTCACAGATAGCTCAAAAATCGACAACAAAGTTGGCTGCAGTACCACCATAAGAACAATAGACCCTACTTTGAATGGCAAAGCCACCTAAGAGCTGACAATAGTGTATATCAGGCAGAACTCAATTCAGTATCAACTATCTCCTACAAGAACAAACCAATAATATCCACATAGTGACAGACAGTCGATCATCAATATATGCGATTAAAAATTCATGCACCACCTCAGGAGTTGCAGAAGAAATACAAGATACCATCACCTCCAGAAACAAAATCTTTATCATCACCTGGACAAGAGCACAGCAATTGTGAAGGCAATGAGAGAGCCGATTTCCTCGCCAAAGCAAGCCACAATGGAACAGCTTGGAGATGAAATAAACATGCCATGGCCACAATCGGCCCTAAAATAGAAATTAAAACAGCATGCTTAACAGAATGCTATAATGGTCAAAGAATGGAAACTATAATGGTCACAAGGAATAACAGGCAGATGCACGCACAGCCTTCTACCACAGATAGACGAGAATGGCACCATATCCAATTTTTACCTGTCACAGTATTATCTCCGGCCACAGCCCCTTCCCCACATATTTTAGCGAAAAGAAATCCCTCTACATCAGATGTGTCTGTATGTGGGAGAGGGGTGATCCAAATCATTACCTTCTACAATGCCCACTAACATCAACTCATCATGTACAACACCCCAGTCAATCAGGAGTAGAATTCCAAAGGTTCAATTACACATCGACATTCCTATAATAACATTAAAGCACTAATTGACAAGCTACATCAACATGGTCTAGAGCTGTGCCAAAAAAAAAAAAAAAAAACATCAAACAAGATACACAACATCACTCAATGTGGCTCAATGCCCCAGTTTCTCAAATTTCCATGGACCCATTGCTTCGCAAACGATGCAAAGCAATGGATAATATCAAAAATCAGTAATCCACTGCTTCATGTGACATAGTACTCAGAATCCCACTGATACCATGTTCCACCAATTCAAAGAATAGTGTCCCGGCCAATGTTTCAGTGATTATCATGATTATGAACTCAAAGTATTACTAATGGTGACTAACTGCTCAGCACCACTCAGTGATTCGGTGTTTGAGTGATTAAGTGAATACAAACTCAGTTTCATCAGAGGTGACATTCATCAATGCATTATTTCCACAGCACTTCTCCATATAAGGAGTGCCTTCAATAATAATAAAAGCACAAAAATAGCATACCCATCACCAGAGACAGTGAACTATTTACTACTGATATGAACTCAATATCATCTAAATACAAATTACCATAAATATTATATTAACACAGTGCAACAATTACGAAATCATGAATAATTTTTTATACTTGTGAGCTGCTAAGTGCACTCAATATAATCCAAAACTGTGAGCTGCTAAGTGCACTCAATATAATCCAAAAGCCAATGTACCAACACTGCAATACCACTACAACCACTAACCAACGTAAATATGACTTAAGTCCACTATAATCAATCAATAATGTATGCAATCCAGCTCCAATGTAAAACTTCAAGTACAGCAATGTTACATCTATTCAATGTATTCATAGATGTAATAATATACTAAAAATGTAGCCTTTTTATAAGATCTTAAATAAATGCCTGAAAAGGCACTTGTGTTCCCCACAGAGGGAACGGTTCTCTAGAAAGGTTAGTGCACGGGAGGTCTATACCATTTTTGTCAATGGCGATGTCATGGTGCCCCCCCCCATACTTGTTCCTGTCCTACTGAGCTAAAATGATGAAATCCCCAAAGCAAAAACCACAATACTATCAAAGTGTTTGCGGAGATGCACGTATTCTTGTGAGGTTAGTGTGTTAACCTTTTGACAGTCATCCAATGAGTTACCTCGGCTCACATTCTAGTTATCTACATTCTAGTAATGCATCGTAGTAGGCAAAAACTTGCAACACAAATTTGCGACCGACAGATATCATGCATGCTTAGGAAGAAATAATTGCTTAATCTTACAGCTATGGAAGGTTTAATAAATAGGCTTATTTTAAATCTTAATTTAATTGCGCTTATATGGTCAAAGGACACAATACGTCATCTCAATCTTCTTCCGTTTTTTACAGTTCTATGAATTAGCATGTAAAGTAATGTACAACTGGACACATAAAAACGAAGTGCATAGTTTCAGAATTATCACCATTACATGATTTTAACATAATTGAAAGGACTCTTACAAAATGATACAATTTGAATATTTTTGTTGATTACCTGGTTCTTTCATTAATTTTGCATTCTGAAAGTAGGTTATTGTATTTAAATGCTGTAAACCTTTAACTGTTTAACATACCTATTTTATTTATTCCTTTTTTACAAACAATACACTCAAAAATTAATATACATTGCTTTTGAAGATATCATTTACAATTTTTATTTTTGTCTTTTTAATTATCATATCACAAATATGCTAACCTGCTTCCTGTGCACGTTCCTCTTCCTCTCGCTCCCTGCGCTCTTCCTCCTCTCGCTCCCTGGCGAGCTGTCGGAGCTTTATCATGATATTGCTCCCTATAAATGAAAATTTATTCATCACCATTAACAACAAAAATTTTAACTAAATGTGTCATGAATATATAGTTGTAATTAAAACAAGATAATTACAAACTTCTTAATGTAAAAGCAGCAGTTATTTTGGGGGGAGGCGTTAGCCCAGAAGGGCTATTAATTTCATTTTGGCATTTTGTGTTGAAAACTGTTGAAAAAACTTTTGCTGCCACCAAATATTAAAGACTTGTACTATATTAAAAAAAATTATGAAGAATCTGCATAAATGTATGCATGTTTCTCGCATTGTGATGAAAACGACGGTAATTAGAGCTATCAAATTTCGAATAACGGACGTTTCCATCTGTATATAGGCATCTGGAAGGCCAAATTTGGAATTTTCTTTATTATCCATTTCATATTTTGTAAATTGTAAATTGTACATGCTTAAAATGTAGGTAAATTGTTAATGCTATTTAGCCCAAAAAGGGTTATTAGTCTCGAAATGAGATTTTGTGGTGATTCACTATAAATGACGTATCGCGCTTCATATTGTTGCTACCAAATATTTTCACCCTGTCTCATTATTAAATATTGAAGAGTCTACATGTATGTATGCATATTCCTTGCATTGCCAAAAATATCGACGGTATTTACAGCCATCAAATTTTGAATAACCTAGTCCTCCACCCAAACGTGTACACCTGGAAGTCGGAGAATTTAGAATTTTTATTCAACTGTTTTTATTTCATATTTTATAAACGTTTAATGAATTTTTAATTAACTATGTCAACAATTTGAATACGAACAGTGGAAACGCTGTTCAAATTAAAGCATTTTTATTTTTATCTGCAGACTGTTGTCATTCGAAAAGTGGAGGATGTTTATCTTTCAATTTTAACTTCGAAACTCGGTTCAACGAAAGCAATGTGTTGCTTCTGCCTCAAATAGAATACTTTTATCTTCCACTTGCTAGCATATTGCCATTCAGTTAAGTCTAAAATACTTTCAAATTTGATCTAGACATTTATTGCAGTAATAAAAAAGCAATTTAAAAAGCAATAAACACAGGTTACGAATACATTTTTCTACTTTTTAATGATACTGATTTATAAAAAACATGCATTAAAATCATGAGATGTCTAATTAGAAATATTCATTAGAAGAGAAATAGAATTAGAATTTTTATCCATTTCACATTTCTAAAAAATTTTTTAATTAAAAAAACTCAAGGATTTCAAAGCAAGTAATGGCAACACTGTATGGCAAAAAAAAAAAAATTATCTCCAGCATGTGAGACTGCATATCGGTAATTCTAAAGATATGCTCATTTTAAAATTATTTTGGGATATTGCTGTTGAACTCAATTTTATGGTTTAAGTGCAAAGAACATGATATTTAATAAATAAAGGTAACCCACAAAACATTAAAAAAAAAAAAAAAAATCCCTCTTTGGGCATAATGTAAAATCTGAGTGTACACTAATAATATATGCTTTATTCACCCAAAATATTTCTCGAAAATAAGCCCCAGCATTATTTTACACGATTCTCAAACTAAAAGCCAGGGCTTGATGAAATTTTAAAGGCAGTCAATGGAAGGAAAGTCAGAGCTGGCTCCGGTGCTTCTTAGTTTTGGGAATAAATCCTAATTCTAGCCAGAGCGCACACTGGAGCTCTAAATAAGAAGGCTTTGGCACTTCTTTAATGTAACAGAACAGCAATTTCAGTAGAAATTTGATCTTGAAAATTTTATTTTCAGAAATAAAATTATATTAAAAATTGATTCTAACTTCTGAATGCATAATTCTCTTTCCTTGGGAAATGAGCCCTTGGATGGAGGTCGAAGATTTTTAAGGAAAGAGAAGCCCCCCACCTACATGTTAAGGGGTTATTCTCCAGAAAGTACAATTAATTTATGAGAGCAGGTAAATTTTTCGTTCCTACGCTAGTGTCTTCCTGCGGAAAAGAGCACATGCAGACTTTTGGAATGATGTAATCAAAGACGGGAGATGAAAATTGTCACTTGTTACTTTTTTTTTTCAACTAACCTTCGGATTCGGTGAGTGAAAGTTTGTTCTCCTGTCATATTCTGCTTGACAGCTAGAATTATATTCAGAGGAAATCATAGTCAGAAAATGTTGGACACTTCTTTTTTTTTTTATACCTACAGGTCATCCATTAAAATTTTCTGCTATTGCTGGTTATAACATTCTCTATACTTTCATTGGTGACGCTTTAACCTTTTTAACACTTTTTATTGGTGTGCTGGAAGAAGAATGGTCTTCATTTCTATTAACCCTTGCAGTAGTACATTATATTCAGAGCTTAAATTAAACTGGAGACCAGTACAGCTAATTCTTATTTTTTGTGCAAAATTGTAATTCCAGCCGAAGCTCCCAAATAAGTCAAGGTCCAGTACTTTATTTTAATATTTAATTATTCACCATTTATTTAATAACTTATTATGTTTATGTCTTTATATTTTATTAAATTTTAATATTAATTTTTAATTACTCTAATCATTAATTATTCAATTTTAGTAATTAATTATTAATTACTTTCTACCCATTTTATTTATTTACTTGATTTTGTTTTTTCCTGACAGTCTTCCATAGGGCTCCGGTACTTCTAATTTTAGAAATTAAGCCTTGAGGAAAGTTAAAGGTCAAAGGAAGCCGATAGACAAATATGCATCGCATTGGCAACACACCAGCATAATTAAGGTCCTACTAAATACCGAAAATTATTGATAAAATTCCTAACTGTTTCTTGATATAAAGCTATATTGTTTAGTAAGAAAGAAATCATAAAATAAGAGGAAAAATATACAAACATTATTTAACACTAGAACGGAGGTAGGGGTCATTTTGACCCCTGAACACTTTTGACCGTTGATTACGTTTGCTTTATTGGAAGAAATCATTTGGAATTTTTTTACTTTTCCTAAATAGATAACAAATATTTGTAAAACAAATTTCAGCATTCTAGGTTTGTTAGTTTTTGAAATAATGGCATGTATTCCTAGAACGGCGGACGGGAGTCATTTTGACCCCTTTACTTTTATCCCTCTTTCTGCTGGAGGCATTGTCAAATAACCTGTGAAAAAACATTCACTGATAATAAGGATTTTTCAATTGCATTCATACTATCTCCCAGAGGGATAAAAACCTGGGTGGTCTCACTACTTTCTAATGTCTACATAAGTTGTTGTTCCTTTATTTGCAATTATCTATTTGTTAAGAAAATACTGCAAGGAAGGTAGATGCAGTCTTTTTCATGCTTACTTTTTTTTTCCCCAGAAATAGTTTATTTTATAGATGTATTTTACTTACTGCAGATGATAACAGTTAGGACAGATGTTTTCTTGGTAATCCCAAATCAGTATTTCAGTACATATGAATTCTGTCAAGTTCATTATCACCTTTCCCCTTTCCTTTACGCTGTGAGAATCATATGCTAAAATATATTCCCTATCGTTTTCTGATAGTCTGATATTTTTCTACTTTTTCAACTTTTACAAAATATTTCTAATAAGCGGAAAAGAGGTCTTAAGGATGAAGAAATTAAAAAATTGTTGCAGGAGCTATCTGAAAATGAGTCTGACAGAGGTGAAATTGATAATTTTTCTGTAGAAACTGAAGATGAATTCCAGACACAAACTATTAGTGAAGCCGAGGACAGTGAAGTAAACGAAGAAGAACTCAGCAGAAATAAACAAGCAAAAACGGATCACGGTATTTGCAAAACTGTTTTTACAGCTCCTGATAGCACTATATGGAATGATATAATTCCCAAAATACAGTCTTTGGCCGTGTTTCTACATATAATGTTCTAAAAGAAATAGCAAGACTAACATCTTTTGCAAAGAGTCGTGTTTCTGAGGACAAAGTGTTTAGTACTTTCAAGCTTTTTATTGATGATGATATCTTGCTGCATAGGAAGAAATGTACAGAATCCGAAGCTCATCGGCAACTTGGAAATAAAGATTGGAAGTTATCTTTGTAACTATATTGTATGTTCGAGGAGTAATAGGAGCAAAGGGCTTAGATTTATATTCCTTAGGGTCCGAAGCGTGGGGAATGCCATTTTGCAAAGAAACTATATCAAGAGGTAGATTCAAAGAAATAAACTGATTTTTAAGGTTCGATGAAAAGACAACAAGATCTGCTCGATTACAGACTGATAAATTTGCTTTTGCATCAGACATGTGGAACAAATTTATTGAAAACTGCAAAACGTGCTACCGAGCAGGACAAATATTACAGTTGATGAACAATTATTCCCATCTATAGCTAGGTGTAGATTTACACAAAATATGCCTAATAAACCATACAAATTTGGAATAAAATTTTGGTTACCTGTCGATGTTAATACTAAATACCTCTTGAATGGATTTCCTTATCTAGGAAAAAATTAAACAGCAAATCCTCAATTACGTTTGTCTGAAAATGTTGTCATAAAATTAATGTCACATCTAAACAAAGGGAGGAATATTACCACGGATAATTATTTCACTAGCATTAAATTAGCAGAAATGCTAAAATAAAAAAATACAACTATGGTCTGCACAATGAAAAAGAATAGAAGAGAAATTCCTATATCTTTGAAAATATGTGTAGTAATCTTTATTCATCGACAATAGTGTAACATGATAATATCACATTTATCATCTATGAAGGCAAAAGAAACAAAAGCGTTTTTCTACTGAACTCATTACATTCTACTGTAAAAACTGAAGACAGTCTCAAGAAGTTGCCCGATTCAATAGCATTTCACAACGCAACCAAGTATTGTGTGGATATTCATGATCAGATATACCGAAAATATTCAGTTAATTTGGCTTTTAGACGATGGCCTGTACATAACATTTCAATATTTTGGATCATGCAGCTTTGAACACCTGGATAATTTATAAAAGTGTAACAGGAAACACCATTAAATGGAGAAATTTTCTACTGAAATTAGGAGTAAAGTTAAGAGTGGTACATATGGCTTCAAAACTCCCAAAGATGCTTCTTGAGT